CATATGCCAAGTGGTTTAAAGGATCAGACCACTTAGGCATTCCAAATCCCACAAATGACTTGTCTTCAAATAGCTTATTCAAAGACCTGGAAAGTACCTCAGCTGACAGAATGAACAATGCTGGTGATAGAGGATCCCCTTGCTTCATAGCCCTTGTAGACTTAAAGAACCCTAATGACTACCCATTCACCAATACTGAATACCAGTTATTTGACATCAAGTTCCATACCATGTTGATGAAGTGCTCAGAAAATCCCATCTTCCTTAGTACATGCAATAAGTACTTCCATGAAACCCTATCATAAGCCTTAGCCATATCAAGCTTGATCACCACATTAGCTGGTTTTTCCCTTAACCTTATGTCAGTGACAATTTCTTGAGTCAATAAGATGTTCTCAAATATATTCCTACCCTTCACAAATCCGGATTGATTAGGAGATATTAGAGAAGGCAAAAAAATTTCCAATCTATCATGCAACACTCTAGACAATACCTTGTTAATGAAGTTGCTCAAGCTAATAGGTCTTAAGTCAGAAAAGGTCTCAACTCTAGGTTTCTTAGGCAACAATACTAGATTGGTGTGAGTGATGGATTTAGGCGGTGCAGCTCCTCCATAGAAGTGTAGCACCATGTTGTGTATATCACCACCAATAACATCCCAGCATGTTTGATAAAATAGGCCAGTGAATCCATCTGGACCACTAGTACTCTCCCCACTAAGCTCAAAAACTGCTGTCCTTACCTCTTCAATTGTTGGCAATCTGCTAAGTTCCAAATTCTGTTCCATAGTGACCATCGAAGGTACATTATTGAGCAAGGAAAAGTAAGATGCATCACCTTCATTTGTGAACTGTTCTCGATGAAAAGTCCACTGCCGTTGTAGCCAATTGCTTCTGGTCTTCAATCCATACCCCACTTCCACTTTTGATCCTCTTCAGTTGTAATTTCTTTCTTTTGCCATCGACATGATTGTGAAAGAAACTTGTATTCCTATCTCCTTCAGCAAACCAAGTCATCGCAGCTTTTTGCTTCCAATACTGCTCCTCAATACTCAAGTATTTCTTCAATTCAGACTGTGCCTTTTGAAGCACAATCATATTTTCAATTGAAGGCTCTTCTTCAAACAACATCTCTTTTACCCTAACAATGTCCTCCAAAATAGCCAATTGCTTGAAGATATCACCAAATGTTTCCCTTTTCCATTTTGACAGTGCTGCCTTCACCCTCTTGAGCTTCTGCTTGCACATCAAAAACGGATCCCCTATGAAATTAGCTTCCCAATTCTGCCTCACCCCATCCATAAATGTAGTATGTTTATTCCAAAAGTTCAAGAACCTGAAAGGCTTGACAAAATTGGTGGTCTGCTCCCCACATGCCATTAACAATGGTGCATGATCTGATCTAGTTCTGATTAGATGTTCAACTTCAATAGTTGGCAACATGTTCTGAAATGGCAAATTCACAAATATCCTATCCAATCTTTTGAATATACACGTAGCATTGGATCTCCCATTCTACCATGTAAATGGACTTCCTTTGTATCCTTGCTCGAACAAACCACAAGAATTTACACAAAATGCAAAATCCTCATATTCAGGCGGGTGTACCGGTAGTCCTCCTATTTTCTCATCTTCATGTAATATCACATTGAAATCCCCTCCTACCAACCATGGCAATTTCATATCACTTGCTAAGTAATACAAGTGATCCCACAATTCCAACCTCTCAATTGCTGAACATTTTGCATAAACAAATGTCATCATCATGTGCTGCCCTAGGTCATGGTGAAGCACTCTCACAGTCACCTGTTGCTCAGTATCCTCCACTAATTCCCATTCCACCAATGCATCAAAGAACAACCATATTTGCCCATTAATATTTGGATAAGCCGTCTCCATATTCAACCTTCTTGAATATCTATCAATGAATCTCTTCTTTTGGAAAGGTTCCATCAATGCAACTACACAAAAGTTATGCTCCCTATTCATGTTAATCACCCTAGGAAAGGCCTGCTGTGTATTCACAGACCTTATGTTCCATATTAATGTCTTGATCATCATTTTGATAGAGAAGCTGCCCTCCTAGGCATAATTCTTAAAGGTTGTTGTGACTCTTTATTCTGATTCTTCTTCGTTTTCTTGCCTCCTTTAGCACTAGCTGTAGGTGATAGATCCCCATCCCTAGCCACCTGTTTGAAGTTTTCTTTAGTTGATTCATCATCTCCCTCATCCTCAATAGGATTTTGTCTCATTAAGTCTTCATCAATTGGTGCCACATTGTGTGTAACTAAATCATGTATATGTTATAGTGGAGTCTTCAGTGGAACATTAAGATGCAGCTGCATAATTTGATCAGTGCCATATTCCATAGGCACTTCCTCTATTTCCCCAGATGCTCTTGGAACAATTGCGTTCTCATCATTCTTTTCACTGTTATTCTCCGATCCTACTGTATCATCCCTAACCTTTACATTATCATCAAGTTTGTTCTCCAATGCATACACCGGAACACCATCTACATATGCCAAAATCTTGCCAGTTGCACTAGTGACAGGATTAACTATCGTTGCTTCATCAGGTGACCCTGGCGCCAGGCCTGGCGTCGCCAGCCTAACGCCCGGGGTACCTGGCTTTAGGCCTGGCGTTGCCAGCCTAACACCTGGGGAGCCTGGCTTTAGGCCTGGCGTCGCCAGCCTATCGCCAGGTGGGCTGTTGTCCCTCACTTTGTCTCTTGTTGTCTTGGTCGTGCCTATTTGATCATCCTCCACCTCAATTGCATCACTCCCTACAACCTTTGTTGAGTTTATCTCATCAAGGTTCTCAAGCTGCCCAGAATCTACAAATGTTTGAGACGACATATCTTGACATGATTGGTTTGTAGTCATATTGAGTTGCCTTCGCTCCTCTTTGCTAGTTCCAAGCCTTCTATGAACCCAGTCGATTGTGGATTCCTTATTAGCCTTTTCGTCAGTACTTTGATCACTAGGAACAATAGGAGTAGCCTAAGCTAAGTTCCCATTATGCTGATCTTCCAACACTTTCTTCACTGCTTCCTTCTTCATACGCTTAAGTTCTTGTTGATTACTTTCTCCCGCTGATTTAGTATTAGTAAGATTAGGGCTTGAAGCTCCGGTAGTGCCTTCTTTTTCCTTCTCATAGCCCTTCTTTGATTGATTTTCCCCATGTTCCTTCTCCTTACCATTGCTATGATCCTCACCTTTGCCTTCAGTAATTTGTAGAATAGGTTGATGAACTTCCTCAACCTCTAATGCATTAAACTTGTTCTTGGTTGCTACTTCCTTAAGTTTGGCCTTCCCTTTACCCTTGTCAGCTTCCTCACTTTGTTTGTTATCAACAATGTGACCCCAATTATCCCGTTGGTATTTGTTCTTCCTTACTTGTATCCATTCCTGCTTGGCATGATTAGTAGCAGGCTTACGAACCACCTTTTCACTTGATAGAACCTTTGTTGAGTTTGCAGCTATACCAATTGCTTCAGTACTCACCACAATTGTCTTCTCATTGCCTTGATCCTCAACATCTTCGTCAAATCTCTTGTGTAACTCAGGATGAATTACCCAGCATTCTGCCTCACTATGCCCTTGTTTCTTGCAAGGCTTGCAATATTTAGGCATATAATCATACTTAATCCTAATCCATTTGAACTCTTCTGGCCCAGATTCATCAGCTTCTTCAACAATCTTAATACGTTTAGGGAAATTACCTAGAAAATTCACTTCCACCTTTACCTTAGCACAACTAGGTCTAGTCCCATTTTGAGTTGCTAGGTCTACATGTAATGGATTACCAACTGCACGAGCTAATGAAAATACACATTCCTTACCAAAGAAATTTGGAGGTAGTTCTGGAAAACTAATCCACGATAGGGCAATAGGAGTCTCTTCATCATGTGTCCACCATGGATTCCATTTTGTACAACGCATCTGCCACATGTCTGATTGAGCCTTTAAATAAAAAGTTGGCTTTGAGAGAAGATGAACATAATCCTCCAATAAAGACAGTCTAATTAACACATGATTGTCTTCAATCAAGCGAACTGAACAATGACCCTTAATCTCACATGGAATTGGAATCACTTTATGTAATTCACCAATAACAGGCTTCCCATATGAAAATTTCCCAAGAACTGCAAGTTGAAGCCCTTGTTGTACGATGGATTGCTTCACTTCTTGTTTCTTCCACTTCACAACCAGTTCTCCATGAAGGAACTCAACTAGTTTCAATGGTAACGTAGCTAGGGTTTGCATGGGCATATTTATGACAGTAGGGTTTAATAAATTCACATAGGTTTTAGGTGGATTAGGGTTTGTATTAGGGTTTTTAGAGGTTGGAAACGGTAGAGGGGGGGAGGGAGACGACGGACCAACCTCAGGAGGAGGCTGGCCGCCGACCGTGGAGGCCATGAAGGGCAGTCACCGACGTGCAGTTGATCGCAATAGAGAGGAGAGAGAAGAGAGCGATTAACGGAATTCCAGTTTCAAAATTATCAAAGAGTTTGTTGAATCCTGGGGGATACGCCTAATTTTATTCATTACGGTGTGGACAAAATATCCTTAAGGACAATGTCTTTGACACGCCTCAAGCTAAACCCTTTATTTTCCGTAATCATCCAAATTTTATAACATAAGTAAAATTTGTAGGATGAAGAGGAATTTCTTTTGTAAAGTTGAAATATAGCCAGAGATAAGGTCAGTCCTCAGTAATTGGACTAATAATTCTGTGCCGCGAGTATTAGATAGAAGACGACACAATCACATACCCAATGTGTAATCATGAAGACCATGCAATGAAACAGAGACAGACAATTAGCAGAGAAGAAAGGCACCCAAAATAAAGGAGAAAGAAAGAAAATACCTCTGTTAAATTTCTCTGACCAAGGAACAGAAAAGTTGTAATTCCAAAAAACGAAAAGCATTTTCAGCTGAAGAAAAGGAAAAGAAGAGGCAAAAAATTGTCACGGACGAAGAAGAAATGGGAATCTTACCCCAGAAGAAGACAACATCCAGTTGTACTGAAGTACCAGTTACTCTTGTGCCATTTGGCGACTACATTATGGGATTAATAAAGATGAGAAATTTTGTTTTGTGAGTCCTTCAACTATGTGTAGACCTTCTAAAATTTGACAAGTGGATATTAGGTCCCACTGATGGAAAACAGGTATAAACAGCGAAAGCAAATATCCAGGATCACTTGCATGTAATATAGACAACACATAATCATAGATTTTAATCGAACATAAAATCGATACTTATCTCTTGAAGCATGACCGCGATCGCGAGAAGCCTCCAAGCAAGAGCGAAACCGTTCACGAGATCATCCTCCAGTTCCACAGTCTTCTGCTGTGTGACCGGAATAATGCCCGGAATTAGCGACATTCGTGTGGGCGAATTTCTCCTAGGAAAAGCATGTAGTAAAAACCTTGCCTCCTTATGGAATAAGACCTCTTTATATAGCCACAGGTTTTAGGGTTTAAAACCCCTTTTCTAAACCTGTTGGGTCTTACTTTTCCACCAAGAAATAGAATTCTATTTAATTCCTAATTTTTCGGGCACAGCAGAGACCGCAATATTTAATTAACGAGGCTTCCTATTATGGACTTAATTCGAAATATCCGAATTAATACTACCATAATAAATTACGAATTATTCCACTAAAAATTCGTAACTGCACTCCTCAGTTCAATTTCGAAATTCTTCCATTAAATCTTATTTAACTCCCCATGTTAAGATTCAGATACTAATCAAATAAATTAAATTACTGACAATTTAATTCATTGATTATTTCCTTTAGACTTTCGTTTAACTTATTTCATGTGACGGATACAAAATCCACCTCCAGGGTTTACACATGAAAACTTATAAGCTTTCATAAAGGTGTATCATCAATCTCTAGACCGAGACATGGATTCCATCAACTAACTATTACTTTGCCAATGTATATTACTATTGTCCAATTTACCAGGTATATTGACCCACGAAAGAATCTCGCCTTTTAATAAATTAAAACAATAACAATATACACAACTAATAATAATTATATTAAGATTAAGAGTATAAGTACATTTAATGGCTAGAGAGTTTTATTTTATTAAGTCAGTATGAAATACTTATATCTACTTGGTCCGTTCAATACATACAAAATGTACTAGCACAAGAAGTTGGAATTAAACCACTCCCATAATCAAGATAAATTATCTCTAATCTTGTGCTACAATCATTCCTGATGGTTTGTCCAATTCCATCATTAGATTGTGAACATGATCTTTATACTTATATGAACCGATGATTTAATCTTCCGTGTATAAGCTAAACTCTATACACTAAATCATCTACTATAAGTAAAGGACACTGATGAATATATGATCTATTTAAAACTTTATTAAAATTGAATAAGCAATTGCTCTATAATAAATACTATATCCAAACCAAAATTCAAGGTTAATAGTATATATCCCAACAATCTACCACTTAGACTTTTAACCATGACAATTATTAGAATATACTATGTCTAAATGCATGGTTAATAGTATATACCCTAACACCCACTTCATTAACTTAAGTAAAATTATAGCAAAATTCACATCGCTCCTCTCATTTTCAACGTGATAATTAGAGAAGAGTACATTAAGGGGTCGTTTGGTTTGAATACGGCTTATGCCGGGATAAATTATGCTTGTAACGATCCGATCGGTCATTTTGAGTTCTAGCACTCCGTTCAGCAGCCTGAGGCCGTGAGCAGCTTCATTTCAGGTATTGTGGCTTGTGCGCGTGGTCGGAATTGAATTTCGGGAAGTCCACAGTTGATTTGGAAAGAGAATTCTCATTTCGGAAGCTTAAAGTTGAAAGAATGAACTAGGATGGGATTCTTGAGTAAACAAC